CTGAACGCTAAGTGTAGACCAATCACGTGACGAAGGACGTTAGTAAAAAAGGCGTTGGAGAATGTCTCGTTCCAGAAATATATGGGTATGATTGTTGGGATGACGTAACAGCAGAAACCGATGACGATGACCGCGTGCCTGGAATTAAAAAATGTAATTGTAGTATAGTTCGATTTAAAGTTTATAGCGGCTTGGTTGCGTGACACGTATCTTTGCGAGAGAAAAGTGCATCGAAGTGTGATGTCGACCCATCTGATTAGAGTTGTAACTTTTAAAAACGAATAGATGTAATTTGATTCCGTTTGATGAGTTTTGCACTCGTAGCTAACGGCCACAATGTTTAAATCTTGTAATACTCTAATCTAAAGACTCTTTTTTACGATTGAACTTTTTTATTAGAGCGAGGTTACACCTTTGATTAAAATATCGCAAAACTGATTAGTCTTGCTTTGATTTCTAAGAGCTTATATGTAGGTGCGAACACTTCTCGATTTTTAGTTGTGCAACCAAACAGTTGAAGACTGCGAAACAATCGACAATCGCACAACTGTTATGTGATAGTTTACTCAAAGGTGTGCGCCCGCTCTTAATATTTCATCAATATTGTTATCTTGGGACTTACCTTTGCTGGAATCTAAGTACAGGGTTGTTGTAGATGTCGCTCATGTCGACAGTCCTCCCCTTCTTCAGCACCAGCGGGTGTTTCCTCACCAGCAGCCATCCGATGTGAGAGAAGAAGAAGCCGCGTGACGCGTTGTAAGGGTCCGCGTCGGTGTCGCTGTGTCTGTCAGTATGGGTTGTTAAAATTCATCCTGATTGAGGGACCATAAAATATACTAATATTTGTTAGTTCGTATAGATTTATGTCAAATTCACACTTGGCCATTACAATTGGACGATTTCGACAAGTCATAGATAGTACGGACTCACTGGTTCCAGTTGGATTTCACACTGCCAGTCCAGTTTTTGTTTAGTTATAAATTTTGTTTGGTAACAAATACGCGATATTTCTATAGAAATTCATTTAGCGTGTAGCTTTAGAGATCAGCATCGTATCTATAGTTCCCTTGGCGTGAAAATGTTTATGAGCGTCGGATCATCTAATATTTATCGATCCGCTCCTTGTTTGTCCCTTTGTGTATAAAAGAAAAAAAAACCAGAGGTATTTACTCACTTATGATGTAATCTGTGGTCTCTGATCCAATCTATGGCTGTGCTTTGGAAGGCTATAGAATTACACAACATTAACACAACTTGTAGAGGCATGGTCGCTTTGAAAGCCTTGTGCGACCACAGTCTATGTGCTGCTATTGTTATTCCAATGACACTGGCCAGTAAGAATATACAAACTGGAAAAAATACAATTTAAAAACATAATAAAAAGAGTATGACACTCGGGGGAATTTGAAAATGTGTTAACTAGTTTTAACACGAGGTGTAAAGGAAGAAAGATATGTTTAGGCAACGCGCGCACACCTTTAACGAAATTATCGTTCAGTCTCTAATTAACTGTTTTTTTTTATAACATAAGGTGGCAAACGAGCAAGCGGCCACCTGCATCCGATAACATGGCGAAACGCCCGCGACCCATAGATATCCGCTATTGCAGATGGCAGAGGAGTCGCACATAAAGAGGATATTTTTCCTTCCTATGCTTCTCCACCGTCAAATTCACTTTCCCTTCCCATCCTCCCCTTATAAGAAAAGGGTGGTAAAGAGAAAGGGACTTAAATTAGGCCTTCGGCACCACACTCATCAGACGAAACACAGAATTGTTTCCACTTCACGTGTGTCTTCTGTGTGGTCGTGATATTACACCGGGCGTGCCGGCCCATTCGTGTTAAATGTTAAAGCGGGCACTACCACTGTTTAGTCTCGCTTTGATTCTTAAGCTTATATGGATGTGTGAATACTACTCGATTCTTAGTTGTGCAACTAAACAGTTGTATACTACGAAACAATTGACAATCGTACAACTTTCTTTAACAGTTCTTCTACAGTTCAAAATGAGTACTTACACGATATGACAGTCTTCCATTTAACCGCTGTTATCCCGAGATATAATCCGTATGCGGCAAATATATGTAATACAGTATATTGTACGAGTCTGAGATATACTATATCGTATGTCCTGGGCGCACATTTGGTTATCTCATCTGGATCTTGCAGTTCATTTGTAGATATTTGAACTGTTTTGACCAGCGGCGCCATCTTTACCTAAGAGCAAAATTTCGGTATACTGGTTTGAATCTTTATTTAAAAATCTTTGAAACGTTGCCTTCTCGGGTACTGGGTTATGTGAAGTTAAAAGCACTTCAACTGTGGACAACGTCGAATGCGATAGAAGAGGGTTTCTTTGAGAGATAGAGATGATAGAGTCTCTTTGAGGCACAACATAGGACCACACTGTTACTGTCTTCTCGCGATCTTTGTAGGTGATCCGGTCTCTCTGATCTCACCACTTCAAGTAGTAAGTAGTCTGTGTTCCTCTAGAACATGTTCTACATATGTGCTATATTTCATCGAGATCTTTAAAGTCATAAAAACTTTTGCATTTATAACTTTAGTAAGTATATCGTGTAACCAAAGCTTAATAATTTTTAAAGGAAATTACGCTAGTGAAACGCTAGAACGTAAAAGACGTACACAAAGAGTAAATGTGAATATTCGGATGGATGTTTGTTAGAGTTTATAGCCTAAACGGCTAAACGGATTTCAATGAAATATGGTATAGATGTAGAGGATAGTCTAAAAGAACATATAGGCTACTCACTTTTGTTTATTTTTAATTCCACGCGGGCGGAGTCGCGGGCAAAAGCTAGTATCAAATATACTGAATTTTACACCTGTATAGCAAACACTTCTCGAACACTCGACTTGTTATTTTCTCTTTGAACAACACAAGACTAAAGTTTTGTAAGATGTTGCATTCATATGTAAAAAAATCAATTAACATGATTTATGCAAAGGGCGTCTAAAGTTCGTGTGTTTAATACCTTTTTGAAACAGAAATAGAAATAACACCCTATTGGTTTGAAATAAACAAACTCGGTAAAGTTGGTTAGATCAGATATTTAAGTATGGATGATATCACATGTGGTCTAATTTACGACGTCTTCGAGTTTATTGGTCACAATTTAATATACACGACAACTGTCTCAATGTTGAAGATTAGTATAATACTAGCTTCCACCTGCGATTTCGTCCGCGTGGAATTAAAAAAAAACGAAAGTGAGTAGCTTACGTGTTCTTCCAGATTATCCTCTATATCTGTGCCAAATTTCACCGAAATCGTTCAGACGTTTAAACATCCTTCCATCGATACTTTCGCATTTATAACATTAGTAATATTAATAATTAATAATTAATAAGTGAAATTGAAATACCGATGAAAAAATTATTTGCTCTGTTAAGCTTTTTTAATCATCATACTAATATAAAATACCTATCTATACTATTATAATAAAGCGTAAACACACACTTCTTTGTTGCCTAAGATGTCAGCAATTACACCATATTTTTGAATAATTTTGTTTTTAATAAAAAGCCCTACACTTACATCACGCTTTAGGCTATATATTTTCACGTCATTAAACTTTAGGGGTAAATATTTTAGATAAAAATCCTAATGCGGGAAGAGACCATAAGTTGCTGCCAACATCAAAGAAGCAATTGTTATTTGTGCATTTGAATTTTGACTTTTCATGTGGATGAAGTCGCGGAACAGCTTTAAGTATTAATAAATTTTGAATGGATTGAAGTTGGTTTTCACGTATCTACAAAATGGTTTAACGAATCTAGATGTTTGTAACAGATGTAGAATACAATCTGGAAGAACACAGAATGTTTGTTAAGTTTTTTTTTAATCCGCGTGGTTAAATTGCCCTGACAAAAGCTACTCACAAAAATATAAACATAAATACGCGGATTGTAATTAAAAAACAACTTGTAAATAGACTAGTAAATGAACTTCTTAAGTTACATCACCTTCTAAATCTTCAGTTTTTCAAAAAAATAAAAATATATTGTCACAACCGTACTGTTCGGATTAATTTTTATAAATATTATAATCTCTTTCAAGTAACAAACAGGAAATATCTTTAAAAAGGTAATTAATTCTGTGTCTATAATAAAAAACTGTATAATCGCAATTATGTTTACTACATTCCAAAAGTAAAAACATGACTAGCGGCCGCCCCCGATTTCGTTAAGAAAAAATATTATAATAAAAAAATAGCTTATTACTCCCATATATATCAGCTACTTTCAGTAAAAGTCCCGTTTTAGATTATCCATAACAAGCACGACTGGTGGACAAACATTTAGACAGACGATTTTTTTTAAGTTTTTTTTTTATTCGCATCGCAAATAATTTGTACCATTTTTTTCAAAATTCATATACAATCTTATTTTATTATTTATAGATAGATTATAAATATGATTGTTCTCAAAATTATTGTTCCATTTCTTATATAAGACGGGGATACAAAAAACGTGAAACAAAAAAGCAAAATCGCGCTACGCAGCCACTAACGCTATAAGTAAAGTGTAGAAAAAAATTAAAATTAACTAATTTTCATTACATATGTGAATATTTATGTTTTTAGTGTTTTTATAACTAGCCAGTGGCATTCTGAATTCGCCTAAAAGCGAGTTACCCGCTGCTCATTAACATCTGCTTTTGCAATGCGTTCCTTTGTTGCTGGAGGAAGAGACACACATAAAGACGATATTTCCCGTTATGTGTCTCCATCATCATTCCACTTTCCCTTCCTATCCTTTCCTCACTAGAAGAGGCTGGCAAGAGAAAGGATCGATTAAGCCTCCAGCACGCACACTCATCAGAATAATCCCGGAATTGTTTCCTCTTTACGCCTGTTTTCTGTAAGATCGTGGAATTGCACCAGGCAAGCCAGTTCTCTCTCTCCCATCCTTTTATGCTCCATTACATCAAAGTTTAAACTAAATGTATTGGAAGATGAATGTAGTTTTCTTTTCAGGTAGATCTGAAACGGATGTACTCGAGGTCTCTACTGATTCTCTTGATGACCAGTACATTGGTATGTAGATTTTTATCAAGATTTTCGTATTTTTCAAGTGATTATGTCAATTCATTTGAGCATACATTAAATTTAGTAAAAGGTATAACATCTTTCGACTTACATCAGATGGAGTCGTCGTTTAGATTCATAGACATAAAAATTTCGATACAAGGCAGGCTTGTTTTTGTCTCGAGTAATTTAATTTTATAATCTCTGCTTACCCATTATGGGATCATTAGTTTTCCAATAACGATGTCTAGCTAGTAATATTTTGAAATTATCATCCACTTGCCCATATCCCTTACGGAGGGTCGGCACAGTATATGCTGCTCTTCCATACATCTCTATCAGCTGTCATATCTGCATCTACTCGTTCGGGGTTCGGGCGCCCCCGCAGTCTCCGTGTCAACCACCAACTGGCATGGCCTATCTAGCTGCGTTATTGGGATGTCGTCTCAACGCCTCGCTCAACTTCCTTCCCCCTACCATTCACTCCCTCACTCCCTCTACTCCTTTAAGCATATTCTCTTTCACACAATCCACCCATACTTTCTTCGGTCTTCCTCTACCTTTGTAGCCATCCACATTCAATCTTAACACTTTCAGGTTTATGTCCCTATCTTTTCGTCTCATAACATGTCCATACCACGCTACCCTTTTGCTACTCAATTTCTCCACCACTGGCGCTACTTTCAAACTTCCTCTAATGTACTTTTGAAATAAAAGAGCTATCATTAGGATATTAGAGGATGTGAGGAAATCAAAATGAAAAACGATTAAGTACCTTTGGAATTTAATATACTTGACAATTAAATAATAACACCGCAACATCAATACATATTTATTCTAATTTATCACAATTTTTCTTATCACCGAAGCCCCACATGTTAGTACCATCTCCAGTTCTATCCGCTCTAGATTTGATCATATCATCAGTAACCGACTTCATATCGTAAGCCCAGCCGATCTTAGCGAAGAAATCGATAAAAATGGTCGTAAGGTTCAAATAGTTGTTCCCCAATTCAGCGGTCCTATAATCCCAGGGGAAGACGTGGTGGTAGTTATGGAAACCTTCGCCAAATGCGACGAAGGAGACGGGGAGACTTTGAACCGGTTTGATGGTTCTATCGTAAGGCTTGTTGCCCCATAAATGAGCAGCGCTGTTGACGAGGAAGGCGATGTGCAAGTTCAGAACGTAGCGTAATATAGCGATGCACCAGGCGGTCTTCAAACTCTCGCCGAAGAAGTACATCGGAATGACTGTGGGTAGGACGAAACATATCGTTCCAATGAAGGGGATTGCGTATCTGTAACGGAAAATTTTGATTGGTGTATTCAGTAATAGATTTCTGTTTAAATTTCTCTCCCAAATAGTGTTGGCGTCAAGCCGTAAAAATGGAGTCAAATCACAAAGGTTTATAATTTCTTTACCTACGCGAATCGTATAAAGCCAGGGAAAATATTTAAAAAATAATTGCTTGTATTCTATAGAATACTAGGTGTTGCTCGCCACTTCGTCTGCGTGAAATTAAAAAGTAATAAAAAATACAGCCTGTTACATTCACAGATTACCTTTCTATTAGTGAAAGAATTAAATCGAGCCAGTAGTTTTTGAGTTTTTTCAATACATATTGAAACTTTTTGTTCTGTAACCTTCTTTTGGCTTAATAGCTTGGCTTTTGAGAAGAGTTCGGCATTGATTCAATACTAAGAGAGTAACATTTTACATTAGATTTGCATTTTTTTCTTTTCTATGTTTTTTAAACGGACTTACTTTCTCTGGAACTGCAGCACAGGGTTAGCGTAAATGTCGCTCATGTCAATGAACTTGCCACGTCTCTTGACTTCCTCGTGCTTCCGCACCAGCAGCCAGCCCATGTGAGAGTAGAAAAAGCCTCGTGTCGCGTTATGAGGGTCCGCATCTGTGTCGCTGTATCTGAAGGAAAAACGTCGCCATTTTTATTTTCAAGAAGCTTTTGCTAGCGACTTCGTCCGTATGAAATTAAAAAATATAGCCTTTGTCACTCACAGATAAATTACCTTTCAAATGGTGAAAGAATTTTTGAAATCGGCCCAGTAGTTTTTGAGTTATTTCAATACATACAGAAATATAAATCTTTCCTCTTTATAATAATACATCTGTACTAATGTTATAAAGAAGTTTGTGTTTTTGTATGTATTGAAATAACTCAAAAACTACTTGGTCGATTTCTAAAATTCTTTCACCATTAAAAAGCTACGGTATCAGTAAGTAACATAGGCTTAATTTCAAACCGAATCGCGAGCATAAGCTAGTTTTAAATGTCAATAAAATCGGCATTCTTTCATAACGTGTGTTTACCTGTGATGCAACCTATGGTCCCTCACCCAGTCAATGGCGGTGTTCTGAAAGGCCAGTGAATTGATAACAATCAGAATGATTTGCAGCGGCAACTTGGCTTTGTACGCCCTGTGCGTCCAGAGACGGTGGGCGCCTGCTGTCACTCCTATTGCTGCTAGTGCGAACAGAACGTAGCCTGGAATATGACGTAAAGGTTCACATTTAGAATACCATTTACAACAGTTTTCTAGTTTCGCTAATGTTATTGAGGACTTCTAATTGTATTTCTCTTATGCACCACCGGGTTCTACCTCAAGAAGACGTAGCAGTCCCTAGATCATGGCATAATTACTCTAATCTAGTACGTCAAACTCTAAGGAGGGTTTACATGGCCTTCTAAACACATTTTGGTACTGGAACGTGACAAATAAGCGAATTTTGGTGTTCCATCCTTATCTGGCTCCAGTGTTAATAGACAATGAGGGTAAACTTGGCGTTAATTAGCCATCTTCTGTGAGATCGTGTTGCACCGCATTGTCATTTGTTTAGCGACGAGTGTTCCCTTTAAGAGCGGGCGCACACCTTTGAATAAACAATCGCACAACTGTTGTGCGATTGTTGATTGTTTCGCAGCCTTCAATTGTTTAGTTGCACTACTAAAAGTCGAGTAGTGTGTGCACCTCCATATAAACTCATAGTGAGACTTAACAATCTTAGGGACTGTCCCACCAAATTTTAAATTGTCGTTTAATCCAACGTGTAAAATGTGTGACGTCATTAAAGGCTATCTAAGCCAGTACTGGGAAAGGCCCATAAAGTTATACTACTTACTGAATATGATCGTAGCCCATGTAGCCTCAGTGCATGCTAAGTATAAACCATACAAGGCCGTCAGATGCGCGTAACCAAATGTTACTATATTCCTGTAAACTATTTGGTACTTTCTCGGCGCCGCTTGTGGTGCGACTAGCTTTTCGAACTCCGGTTCACGTTCTATTACCTCCACGGATGATACGTCTGGTGCCATGATCTGAAAATAATATTATAATAATCTATTACGTTTTAGAAAATAATGTTATAAACGATAAGGTTCCTATTTGAGATTATCATTCTGTGAATATTCAAAATTTGTTTTAACACGACGTAATTTAGTCCTCTTCCCCCTTTTTACTATAAGGGATGTATGGGAAGGATTATTTTTTTCTATCATAAGGCAAAAGAACAACCGGCCACTTGAAATCGTCAAAATGGCCAAGCGACCGCTGCCTATAGACATTCGCAATAGCAGATGCGTTGACTACCCTTAATCGACAGAGGAGACGCACATAAAGAGGATATTTTCCCTTCATATGAGTCTCCTCCAGCGTTAAATCCACGTTGCCTTCCCATCCCATAAGCGACTAAAGTTAGGCGTACGACACCACACACATCGGACAAAGGGCGGAATTGCTCGCACTTCACGCCTGTCTTCTGTGTGGCCGTGGTATTGCTAGTGGCGAGCAGACCCATTCGTGCGAATATTTAGGGCGACATAGGCAGGGAAAATATCGTCTTTCTATCCCTTTGTATGTCTTTAAAAGATAGGCAACGTATAAGTAAATAACGTCTATGGGCAAAATTCACATTATTTTAACAAATTAACTTTGCTAAGCTGCTAACTCGTTAGCTACCTTATAGTATAAAAATTAACACGTTTCATGCCACTAAGGTTTTTTCAATGTATTTGAAAGGAAGTCTGCATTGAAAGTGTTAATTTGTTTTCAACACCTAAATGACGTCTTTTATACGGTACTCGGCATTTTAATTGAGGTTAGAGTTTAATCACTTTGAACTTGAATTGTATACTTAATAACTATGTTTTATTGATGACTTCAATTGTTTATGGTGAAGTTATTTAATTGCTAACAAGACGTTATAGGTTAATGAATGGTTTGGGAACATGTGCGGTTGAGGAAATAAATTCCCTACCCACTGCAAATGATCTTATAGCAGCTATAAGAATTAAAGCATGATTACATGATGATGTTTGCGACTTTAGTCAAATGATATTTGGTACGTTGTGAAAGGCGCCCGCTATCGGTTGGTTCTGTCACAAATTTAATACATTTGTAGCTTTAGCCCGCAATTCCGTTCGCGTGGAATTAAAAACTGTATTCTACATCTATGCCAAATTTCATCGAAATCCGTTCTGTCGTTTAGGCTACAAACTCTTACAAACATCCATCCATCCATCTAAATATTCGCATTTATAATATTAGTAAGAAGTAAGATTTGCCTTTCCTTGGTTGAAAGGGGAAGATGAATGAAAATAGGCCTCTGCCACACACGATCGTCAGAACTCGGAATTACTGCTGTTTCACGCTTAGTTTGTGTGGTTTTTCGTGAACCAGCAGCCTATTTCTATGAAGATGTTAAACCGGGCTCTACCACTGTTAAAATATACTTAACGTACCAAGGTTTTTATCTAATTGCGTGCGAGGAAATAACCAAGAAATAAAAATAACCTGTAATTTTATGTTTATAAAAAATTATAATATTATTTTGCATGTTAATTCAAGTAATATTATTGTTCATAATATTCACGATATGAAACAGCGACCTTCAGTTAATGTTTTATTGCACACATCATATATCATACTTATATTATAAATGCAAAAGTTTAGATGGATCGATGTATGTTTGTTAGAGTTTGTAGCCGAAACGGATCTGGATAAAAATTGGCATAGATGTAGAGGATAGTCTGGAAGAACACATAGGCTACTCGCTTTTGTTTTCATTAATTCTACGCAGAGGGAGTCGTGGGCGAAAGCTACATATAAAATCACACTGTAATTTAATTTAGATGTTTGCAATAATAATGATATAATATTTTATAAATTACGTTAGCGTGGAAAAAATCTAAGCGTTATAAACTTTGGAATATATATGTCCTAAATTTCATTAAGATATATGGAACCGTTGTAGAATTATTGAGTAAGTATGAAAAAAGTATTCATCGGATTTAAAGAAGTCTTTGTGTTCTTCCAGATACTATGCCAAATATCATCGAGATCCGTTCAGCAGTTTAGGCTACAAACTCTAACAAACATCCATCCATCTGTTTTCGCTTTTATAATATTAGTAAGAGTAAGATTAAAATGTTTGCCATAAAACTAATGAATACTATAAATTTAAATAAAGTTCACAGTAAAAATCACGTATTGGACCCTAGCGAAGCCGGAACGGGTCGTCTATACTAATGCTATAAGAGGAAAGATATGTATTTTTGCATGTATCGAAATAAGTCAAAAACTACTGGGGTAATTTTTGTCATTTAAAAGCAACAATATCATCACTTACGTAACATAGGCTACATTATTTTACATAGGCTACACTTTTTATTATTCTTTTTAATTTCACGCTCGGGAAGTCGCGAGCAACAGCTAGTAATAAATCTAAAAGATCATAATGCAAGCAAAAACTTTCCTTAAAAAAAAAACGTTGATAAAAATCTTTTACTTTGGCCTTGTATTAGTGCAGTACATTTATTGCATAAAATTAATGTTTTTTTTTTTATTAAAACTGGTCGCCCATTGGTCGAATTCGACAAAGATTTATTTTATTTTAAATTTAAATTCTTTATGTACGCGTTCGCGTTTACTCTTTTAAAAAGTTGTTCAAAGTTTTCGTCTCAAATATCTATCTATACTTCTATACTATTATAATAAAGCGTAAACACACTTCTTCTTTGTTTCCTAAGATGTCTCTCTAACAAACATCCATATAAACTTTCACATTTATAATGTTACTAGCAGTTCCTGTGCGGCTTCATACGCATGAAATTATGAAAAATACGAGCTGTTGCCCGCAACTTCGTCCGCGTGGTATTAGAGAACATACGAACTAAATAAATTACAAAAATCTACGTATCCCTCGGGAACCGGACATTTCTCGGGGATGAAGCTTATTCCATGTGTACTCCAGACTTTGTTTTATATCTGTGCCAAATTTTAATAAGATATGTTGAACCGTAGCAGAATGATCGAGTAAACATTAAAAAACTAAAATAATGAATCCCACGGGAACCAAAACTATTCCGGAGATAAAAAGTAGCCTAAGTGTTATTCCAGACTATACTCTTAACCTGTACCAAATTTCATGGAGATCCGTTCAGTCGTTTAGGCTACAAACGCTAACAAACATCCATCCATCCACTCATCTAATCTTTCGCATTTATAATATTAGTAAGAAGTAAGATATAATATTAGTAAGATTAATTGTGGACTTTGTTTTGGAATATCAAAAAAACATTTTAAATAAACGATAGCAACTGTTTGTAGTGTATACAAAATTGTAAAGGTAACATTGTTTAGACAGTTTCTACATCACATTTCGATTGAATTCAATTATAGATTACTAGCATTCGCCCGCGACTCCGCACGCGTGGAATTACAAAAAAGTGAGTAGCCTATGTATTCTTCCATACATCTATACATTTAATCGAAATTCGTTCAGCCGTTTAGGTAACAAACTCTAACAAACATCCATCTTAACTTTCGCATTTAAATATTAGTATGATTTAATTCCGCGCGGACATGTCACGTACAAAAGCTAGTTAAGAAAAATATAAAACATTGTTAAAATAATTGAAAATTAAATGACTCACCTTTCTACAGGAAGTTAAATAAAATTTACTAAGACTTTTTCCCTTTTATGTTATTTTTATAACCGGTCTTTACAATGCGGCTGCCCGATTTACTTTGGGAATGACGTTTGTTATTCGCGAGGTGATACCAATTTGAATGCGCATCAAAATGGTTAGCGTAAATTTCCACTGGCGTTTAAAAAATCACCTATTTATGTATATCTATACTTCTATACTATTATAATAAAGCGTAAACACACACTACTTTGTTGCCTAAGATGTCAGCAATTACACCATATTTTTGAATAACTCTTTTTTAATAAAAAGCCGTACAGTTACGCTACGCTTTAGGCTATATATTATCACGCTATTAAATTTAGAGGGTAAATATTTTGGATAAAAACCCTAATGTGGGAAAGAGACCATAAGTTGCTGCCAACCTCAAGGAAGCAAAATTGCCATACGTTGTCATCATGTCATCTCATTTTGACATTTACAATTGAATTTGACAAATGTAATCAATAAAACAATTTTCATAATTTCATGCGAACGAAGTCGCAGGGGAACAGCTAGTACTAATATAATAAAGCGTAAGCCACACATTGTTATTTACGGTAGGATGTTAGTTACAGCATATTTTTCGATAATATTTCCTTATATGTCTTGCACTTACGACACGATATCTTCGTGTTTTGTTCGTATAGGTAACTTAAAAACTACTGGGCCAATTTCAAAAATTCTTTAGCCATAAAAAGCTACGTTATCAGTACGTAGGCTATATATTTTAATTACACGCGGGCGATCGCAAGCAACAGCTCGTATACAACAATGTTAATTCCCTCTGTCTGTTCCTATGTATGCTTAAATCTATAGAATTACTTAACGAATTTATTACAGGCAAGATCCTTGTATATCTATAGGATAACTTTTTCGTTTTCGATATTTGTTTCAAATAACTTTTATTCCGTTATCGTTGCTCGTTAGCACAAGATGTATAAATGCAAATTTATCTATGTCTATACTAATGTAATAAAGCGTAAACACACACTTCTTTGTTGCCTAAGATGTCAGCAATTACAGCGTATTGTTGATAACTCTTTTTTTTAATAAAAAGCCCTACACTTACACGCCTTAGGCTATCTATTTTCACGCCATTAAACTTATGGGGTAAATATTTTGGATAAAACCCTAATGTGGGAAGGACCATAAAGACCATAAGTTGCTGCCAACATCAAGGAAGCAAGGTTGCCATGGTTTGTCATCATGTCATGTCATTTTCAATTGATAATTTGACAAATGTGTATATAATATATATGTGTATTGTTTTTGGATTTAAAGATATATAAAAAGAACTTGTTCGTTTTCGATGTTTGTTTTAAACATTTATTCCGTTATCATTGCACGTTAGTACAAGAAATATAAATGCAAATTTATCGTCAATAAAACAACGACACGTACTAAATGATTGAATTTATATCGCTGTTTGAAGGAAATCCTGAAATAAAATCATCAGATTAAAGAACCACGTAGTTTTCGGTTGACAAATTATTCAACGTCTGTTAATGTAGTACTAGTGTAGTACCACTTTAACAGTGGTAGTGCCCGCTTTACCATCTTAGCACTGCAGGACCGGCACGCCCGGTGTAATACTACGACTACACAGAAGATAGGCGTGAAATGGAAGCAATTCCGTGTTTCGTCTGATGAGTATAGTGCCGGAGGCCTAATTTAAGTCCCTTTCTCTTCACCACCCTTTTCTTATAAGGAGAGGATGGGAAGGGGAAGTGGATTTGACGGTGTAGGAGATCCATAGGAAGGGGAAATATCCTCTTTATATGCGTCTCCTCCTCCGTCGTATAAGGGTAGGCAACGCATCTGCAATTGCGGATGTCTATGGGCAGCGGTCGCTTCGCCATTTTGGCGGATTCAGGTGGCCGCTTGCTCGTTTGCCACCTTATGTTATAAAAAAAAAATACTAAAATTGGCGCCTTCGCCTGCGTGAAATTAAAAAATAAATAATGTAGACTTACTGATAACGTAGATTTTGTATTCATATTTGATTTTGTATTTGCATGTTATAGGCCTCTTTTGACGAACGCGGGCAACAGCTAGTATGTACTAAATAAATACTTACCTCTCACTTAATTCTGCTAAGTTTTCCTTCCACAATTATGCCAGAATTAGATGGATCTATGAAAGAACATGACACTATTCAATGTTACCAGCAAATTGTGTACACAGTCTTTTGTAATTTGCCTAGAAATCGTTGAATCGAAAAATTGCATATCGAACAAATTCACAAAATTATACTAGACCCTCCTACAACGTGAATTTCGTACCCCATATAACGGAAATTACTGCCTAGTTAAAAGATCCCTATAAGGCGATTTATGTCGCATCCATCAACAGCGTTATAGAGAACTTTATTGTATCGTGTAAACGTCCACTGTAGCGTTAAAAATCTGAACAGATAAAACCGCGCGTTTACAAATTTACTACTTAATCTGTCAATTTGTGAATTTAAGTTCGATATGCAATTTGTCGAATTCACGATTTGAATAGGTAAATTCATTATCCACTTGCCCTTATCCCTTACAGAGGGTCGGCACAGTATGTGCTGCTCCATACATCTCTATCAGCCATATCTAAATCCACTCCTTTCTGTAGCATCCTCTTTCACACAATCCATCTATACTTTCTTCGGTCTTCTACCTTTGTAGCCATCCACATTCATTCTTAACACTTTCAGGTTTATGTCCCCATCGTCTCGCATAACGTGTCCATACTAACTAACCTTTTGCTTCTCAATTTCTCCACTGGCGTTACTTTCAAACTTCCTCTAATTACACATTCTTTAATTAAATTATTTTAGTTAAATTACTACACTTTATTATTTTGACTTTAAACATTACATTTAATATTAAAATAATACTTGTTCCGTTAACATTGTCAACACAAATGTCATTATTACAAATATGTTATGTATGTAACAATTTTATTATTAATAATATTTGTCATCTAACATAATAAAGTTATGTGAAACGTTGCTTTTTTATTAACATTTCGTGAGACATAAAGTAAAACAATTGCGTATTATTTTACTAGTTAACGGCCGTGACTTTCCGTGTAAAGGACGAATCAAGAAAAGCCTTATAATCTGGTTTAATTAATTTTTACGCTATAAAAGCAAAATGTGACAATAATTTGAATTTTAGGTAATCCTTTTTGTAAAATCTTTTTCTTAAAGATTTCATAGGTTGTATCATCCGTTTCAAAAGCCTTGGCGACTCAACGTACTGTTTTTTTTTAAATATAAGGTGGCAAACGAGCAAGCGGGGCTTCCTGAATCCACCGAAATGGAATGCAGCCGCTGTCCATAACATCCGCAATTGCAGATCCGTTGCCTACCCTAAATGGACGGAGGAGGAGACGCACATAAAGAGGATATTTCCCCTTCTTATGCGTTCCCTCCACCGTCAAATCCACTTTTCCTTCCCATCCTTTCCTCTTAAGAAAAGGATGGAAAAGGAAAGGAACTAATATTAGGCCTCCGGCACCACATTTATCAGACGAAACGCGGAGTTGCTACCACTTCACGCCAGTTTTCTGTGTGGTCGTGGTGTTACACCGGACGAGCCGGCTCTGCAGTGCGAAGATGTTAAAGCGGTCTCTACCACTGTTAATGTGTGCCCTATGCGTTACGTCTAAGATTGTATTGAGCGAGTTATGTAATGCTCCGAGCCGACGACATATTTGAATACTATTGTAGTTGTATACCAATGAGTCAGTTTACTGTTCAAAGAAATAGATAATAGACATTAAAATTATGTATCCATGGTATTAAAAATGCAATTAAAAAAGAAACAACGGTCGTGCCATCGCGCGATCGCGTGCATCAAGGGTGACATGCGTAGACTTTAATGCTCTGTGAATAATATTAGATATAACCCTTTTTTTGCCGTTTAAAATACCAGCTAAATCACACATTAAACTAGGGTAAAATAATAATAATTTTATGTATTTATTTAAAGAAAAAATGCACACAAAATCGATTAAACATCGATTTTATTGGACAAGGACAATCTGTTGCGCATAATCTTACTAAATTATGTTAACAACACAAGATTCTTGTTGGACTGTAGCAGTCTTGTATGCTTTTATAGCCTGAGGTTTTATATGTTTTCTGATACAATAAACTTTGATATCAGGACCTTTGTCACTACTATCCCCCTAGACTTATAACAAAATCTTTAACGATAGGATCGTCCAAATACGGGAAGGGATGAATCGCATGTAACAAGACGGACGTTAGTTATGAATGTGAAGGGGTACATCGGTAGAGGTAGACCTAGAAAGGGATGGATGGATTGCGTGAAAGGTGAAATGATCAAGAAGGGAGTGATGACTGAGATGACGGATGATAGAGTGCTTTGGAGGACGAAAACCCGGTGCGCCGACCCTACGGGAGTAGGATAAGGCAGGGGATATGATGATCGTCCAAAAAAATGTAATGTACATAAATAAGTACGTGACAAGCACGTGACTTATCAAAAGTTATATTAACTGTATGGTAAATTTAATGAAGCCCCGTTTCCTAAATCCAAAGAGAAACATTACAGAGTTGACATGACTTAAGATAAAATATCCAAAAAAAACTTTAATGAACGTTACTCAGTATAAAGGCGAGCACTTACCTTCGACTACATTATCGTACAACTGTTTAGTCCCGTTTTGATTTCTATAAGCTTATATGGAGGTGTACACACTACACGATTTTTAGTTGTGCAACTAAACAGTTGGATTAACAACAAAACAATCGACAGTCGGACAGCAGTTTAGTCAAATTTGTGCGCCTGCTTTAAGGGAACTTTCTCGTTATTGTTTTTCGTTTTTTAATTATCAGTGTTTATTTCCAGATGCGTTCGCGAAGGCAGCAGCACTACGTCTACTGGAAGCGGCTCGTACAGGCGACGTGGAGACAGCTCGTGCATTACTGGACTCCAGACCTGGGCTGGTCAATTGCAGAGATGTGGATGGAAGGCATTCAACACCGCTACACTTTGCTGCAGGGTATGTTATGAATGAAATCATCTTCCGCCCAACATTTATCCCTTAGCGTCGGTATACCGGGTCTTCGTCCTCCAAATGGCTCTATCATCCGTCATCTCAGTCATCACTCCCTTCTTGATCATGTCACCTTACACGCAATCCATCCATCTCTTTCTATGTCTACCTCTACCGGTGTACCGCCACACGCATAAATGCAACACTAGCTTTTGCATCCGATTTCGTCAGTGAGGAATTAAAATAAATACCCTATAACATGCTAGTCTACATTAGCTACCTTCAAGTGAGAGTCCCGTCAAAATCGGTCTACCCGTTTCAGAGATTACCCGGAACAAAATGACAGACAAAAATGTAATAATTAGATTTTCGTTAACACGCTAATTTGTCATGTGTATGAAATATGATTGTTTTAATGTTACATACATATTGTAATTTTATTAACTTATTAGCATTCGCCCGTGGCTCCGTCTGCGTGGAATTAATAAAAAACAAAAGCAGCCTATCTGTTCTTCTAGACTGCTCTATATCTGACATGTTTTATCGAGATTCGTTCAGCAGTTTAGGCTACAAACTCTAACAAACATCCATCTAAACTTTTGCGTTTATAATAAGTGCCTGTCCCACCATTGGCTGATAGAGGCTCAGATAGCTTAAAAATGACGTCACTGTCAGATAAGATAACAAAATCCGATATTTCCATCACATATTTGTTTCATTGGATTGTTGTCAGACAATTTACAATTTGCTGGGACAGACCCTAAGTATGATAGACTCAACGAGTTACTGCTTCAGTTAATAACATTTTTTTGTGTAAATTTTCAGTTACAACCGTCTCCCTCTCGCGCAATTGTTATTGCAGAGAGGGGCTGATGTCCACGCGAAGGATAAAGGGTAACTTCTTATGATATACATATTATAAGTTCACGCTCTTCTTATCATCATCATCACCAGCTCACTAAGTCCCCACTGAGGGGCTCGGAGCCTATCCTAAGTTAGTGACTAGGCCATAGTCAACCTGCACTGCGGGTTGACTTCACACATCTCTTTGAATTTCTTCACCGATATGTGCATCACGATGTTTTCCTTCACCGTAACGTCGGGTAAATTATGTACATATGAAAATTACATTGGTACGGCTGGATTCGAACCCAAGATCTGTAGATTACAAGTCAAGTGCTAACCACTGAGCCACCGACACTCATGACAGTGTTTATATTAACTAGCTGTGGCTCAAGACTTCGTCGAAGAAAGAATTTTTGGAATCGGCCCAGTAGTTTTTGTGATATTTCAGTACATACAAACATCTTTCCTCTGTATAATATTAATATAGATTAGAATATTTCGGACGCCTTTTGCAGACATCGTTTAACAGATGCCATTTTAGGCAACATATTAGAGGTTCGCCCCCAACCATATCTGATCTGTGTATTATGTAATAACTAGCTGTTCCCCTGCGACTTCATCCGCATAAAATTGTGAAAATTGTAATTTTATTGTTTACATTTGTCAAATTATCAATTGCAAATGTCAAAATGACATGACATGATGACAAACCCTGGTAACCTTGTTTTCTTAATGTTGGCAGCTTGTAGTTTATATTCTCTTTCCCACATGAAGGCTTTTTCCAATTTATTTATTCCCCAAGTTTCATTAAACTACAAGATTTCGCCTGCGACTCCGTCCGCGTGGAATTTATAAAAACAAAAGTGAATATTCTATGTGTTCTTTCAGACTATCCACTACATCTATACCAAAAATTTCATTGAAATCCGTTCAGCCGTCTAGGCTACAAACTCTAACAAACATCCATCCATCCATCCATCCGTCTAAACTTTCACATTTATAATATTAGTGAGATTGCGTAACGCGTAACGCTATTGCGTAAAAATAAATAGCCTAAAGTCGTAACATCGTGATGCACATATCGGTGGATAAATTCAAAGATATGTGTGAAGTCAACCAACCCGCAGTGCAGCGTGGTTGACTATGGCCTAGTCACCCTTAGGGTTGGGGTGGGTCCGAGCTCAGTGGTATCGATTTTGTATATTTGACAACTAAAATATCACGTCACTTATCCAGTGGTCTAGTCCCCCTCCACAATGCGTGTTCCTACGGTCACTACGAGGTGACGGAGCTGCTCGTGTCGGCTGGGGCGGGGGTGAATGCGGCGGATCTCTGGCGGTTCACACCCCTACATGAGGCCGCAGCTAAAGGCAAAGCGGATATCGTAAGATTATTGCTCAAGGTAAGTATAATAACTTTCGACCGCGATTCCGTTTGCGTAAAAAAAAACAAAAGTAAGTAGCCTATGTGTTCAGTACTATGGCAAAATTTATTGAGATCCCTTCAGCAGTTTAGGCTACAAACTCCAACAAACATCCATCTAAACTTTCGCATTTATAATATTAGTATGATTGGAATATTTATGTAAAACTATTAAACCTTAAGCCACCGGTATTGAAAATGTACAATCAAGGAAATTGTCGGTGTTCCATAACTGCGCACACCTTTGATTAAAACTATCACATAATTGTTTAGGCTCGCTTTGATTCTTATGAACTTACGAGCTGTTGCCCGCAACTTCGTCCGCGTGGTATTAGAAAACATACGAACTATATAAATTACAAAAAGCTACGTATCCCTCAGGAACTGGACATTTCTCGGGGATGAAGCTTATCCCATGTGTACTCCAGACTTTGTTTTATATCTGTGCCAAATTTCAATAAGATATGTTGAACCGTTGCAGAATGATCGAGTAAACATTAAAAAACTAAATTAATGAATCCCACGGGAACCGTAACTATTCCCGGGATAAAAAGTAGCCTATGTGTTCTTCTAGTCTATGGTCTAAACCTGTGCCAAATTTATGGAGATCCGTTCAGCCGTTTAGGCTACAAACGCTAACAAACATCCTTCCATCCATCTAAACTTTCGCATTTATAATATTAGTAAGATTAGTAAGATATGGAGGTGCGCAAACAATTTTTAGTTGTGCAACTGAACAGTTGAAGGTTGCGAAACAATCGACAATCGCACAACAGTTTGCGATAGTTTAGTCAAAGGTGTGCGTCCGTTCTACGACTACAGTCGTTTGTACTAGACAATAACCAATAGGATGTTTTAAATGTGTCTATAATTGATTTTTATTGTTATCTCATAGATAACGCAACTCACAGCTACCTAATTATTTATTTGTAAGATAAGACAGAGTTTATGTTTGCTAGGATTAAGGCGTTTTTTTAAAGTGGAACATCGCAGATTTCCCCGATTGTATTTTTTTAATATTGTTGATTTTTTTTGTTAATTTACTAATATTTCTTTTAACCACTCTAATTAAGCTTCAAGAATATGGTTCACTACAAGTCGAATGACGGGATTCGAACCCTCGATCGCAAAATCGGTCCATACCCCACTCCCAAGAAGTTTATACCCTAAACTATTTGGCTATTGTCGCTTTATTTTTACGTTATATTTCATTATTGCGTTAATGCCGTTTTTATAACGATATCTCTTATTGATTCTCTTTGTGCGACATGTATGGCCGTTGTAGAGTGTGTTGTGTGCAGCACGGCGCCGACCCTACCCGTCGTAACCGCGACGGTCTCACGCCGCTGCAGTTAGTGCGAGCGGGCGACTGCGACACCGCGGACGCGCTGCGAGGCGACGCGGCCTTACTTGACGCAGCTAAGCGCGGGGACCTCGCTAGAGCAAAGTTAGTTGATAATAACCCTTTATTTGATACTAGCTGTTCCCGTGCGACATTTACATTTATCAAATTATCAATTGCAAATGTCAAAATGACATGACATGATGACAATCTTGCTTCTTTGATGTTGACAGCAACTTATGGTCTCTTTCCCACATTAGGGTTTTTATCCAAAATATTTACCCCCTAAGTTTAATGGCGTTAAAATATATAGCCTAAAGCGTGACGTAAGTGTAAGGCTTCTTATTAAAAAAAAGAAGTATTCAGAAATATGGTGTAATTGCTGACATCTTAGGCAACAAAGAAGTGTGTGTTTACGTAGTATAGATGGGGGAGCTACAAAAAGATACTCTTCAGGGGGAAGACAGGATTATGTGAGTTTGTACCCCTGTGTAACCACAAAAACCCAGTAAACGAGTCTTTAGTACAATAGGGTTCTGGGATATAACCTAACACACTACATAATATCTAGCTGACTGCGTACATGCGGAATTAAAGTATAGTAAATATTTTTGTATTGGTTTGCTGTAGTTTCCATTTATTTTATTACATAGTGGTCCCTAGTATGGACATAAGTCCCCTGCCCAAGGGGAAATTAATAAACTATTTTTATTTTTTATTTTACTTTTATAGAGTTTATTAGTAACACTCAAGTTAGGTAGTTCGTAAACAATAAAATAAAAATTTTATAATTTCGTCCGGCTGAAGCCGCACGGGAACAGCTAGTATAGTATGATTGTAAACAAGAAGACGCGTCCTTAAATGTCACAGGCACCTTTTAACACGTGAGACATTTTTTAAAAGAAATAACATCTCCTTATCATCATCATCATCAGATATGTTTGTACTATATCAGTATTTGTTACAGGAAACTGATCACAGCACAAAATGTCAACTGCAGAGACGCACACGGCAGGAACTCCACGCCGCTACATCTTGCTGGTAAAATTAATAACATTAGAATCTATACTTCTCTACTAATGGAATCAATTCTTACTGTTGGCATCTGTCACCTTCATATGGATGCCTATGACTAACCCCTAATACCGACTAGTCCCTAACTCGACTACGGACATCACTAGCGTCGCACGGACATCCCTATTGTACACCCAATCTCTTGCACTTCTGTCAATCTGCGCGGTCATCGTATCTCGCGCTAATCAAAATATAACATAGTAATTAACTGGCGTTTCATTATGTTCACATAATAAGAGGCATTAACACACACTTTGTTATGTAGGATGTCAGCAATCACAGTATATTTGTGAATTTTTATTTTTTTTTATTGAAACCTCTACACTTAAAACACGCTAACTTACTTCTTACTAATGTTATAAATGCGAAAGTTTAGATGGATGGACAGATAGATGTATGTTTGTTAGAGTTTGTAGCGTAAACGGCTGAAGGGATCTCGATTAAATTTGGCATAGATGTTGGAAATAGTCTGGAAGAACACATAGGCTACTTGCTTTTTTTTATTCCGCGCGGACGGAGTCGCTGGCAAAAGCTAGTAGGCTATATTTTCACGCTATTTGTTTAAGAAGATGCGAGAAAGGGACAAAAACTATAACCCAATAGCAGCAAAGTATTGTTAACGGTAGTTGTTAGCCTATGGCCCTAGTTGTCATTTAAACATTTGAATTTCATTATTTCCTAATACAAGATTTACAAATCTAAACAATATACAAAAAAATATCTTGAAAAAGTATTGCCAATAGCGTATCGTAAGCGTAGTATTTTGTTTTCAAAAATATATTTAAAAAAATATGATATAATTGACATTTTGCATAATAAAGTATGTGTTTACGCTTTATTTTATTAGTATACTAGCTTTCGCCCGCGACTCTGTCCGCGTGGAATTAAAAAAACATAACTGAGTAGTATATGTGTTCTTCTAGACTATCCTCTACGTCTATGCCAAATTTCATCGAAATCTGTTCAGCAGTTTAGGCTACAAACTCTAACAAACATCCATCCATCTAAACTTTCGCATTTTTAATGTTGGTATGATATAATTTTTTTCTTCCAGCGGGTTACAACAACTTAGAAGTAGCGGAAGCATTGCTAGAAGCAGGGGCGGCAGTCTCCGCACGTGACAAGGGGGGCCTAGTCCCCTTACATAACGCAGCCTCGTACGGACATTTGGAGTTGGCAGCGTTACTGCTGCGTGCGGGGACTCCGCCCAACGCCGCCGACAGGTGGGGCTTCACCCCGCTACATGAAGCAGCACATAAAGCTCGCACGCAGCTCTGCTCCTTACTGGTGAGTTGGACACGCCCACTAACACAAGTCACGCCCACTTACTCATAATTCACGCCTACAATCAGATAAATCAGGCTAACAAGCAATTAAGTCACACCAAGGGTTTATGAGTTAAGCCTATATACACATAAGACACGCCCATTTGTGTGCCAGAAACGCCCACGTCTTCCATTCAGTCATTTAGGACAACCTAAAACACTGGAATATGTCCTATCGTTAATCCGCATGAAATTATGAAAATTTTATTTTATTGTTCAAATTTGTCAAATTATTAATTACAAATGTCAAATTGACATGACATGAAAACAATCTTGCTTCCTTGATGTTGGCAGCCACTTATGGTCTCTTTCCCACATTAGGGTTTTTATCCAAAATATTTACCCCCTATGTTTAATAATAGTATTTTGTAGATGTAAATTAAACTACAATAAGTATACAAAATCGTATTAAATGTAGACGAATTTAACCGTCTACGTGACGCTAAACGGTTAAATTTAAATTTAACCGTTTAGCGTCCTTTTGACCGTTAACACATTAAACCAGAATATTTCGTCTCTTTTCGTCTCGCATCCGACTTCAACAGTCCATCTCTTTCAGTTGGCGCACGGCGCGGACCCTTTTTTAAAAAACCAAGAAGGTCAGACCGCATTAGAGTTAGCGGGGGCTGATGACGTGCGCTCGCTGCTGCAGGACGCGATGACGGGCGCGGCGGGGGGCGCGGCGGGCGCGGGGGGCGTGTCCGCGCAGGCCCCGCCCCCGCCGCCGCCCGCCCCGCCCCGCCTCCCTATACGACTGCCTTCAGGAGAAACTGCAACATTAGCACCACCGGTAAGAAGTAAATTCATATTTCTTAATGATGTTTGATGTGTTTAATGTTTTTTTTATATATATAATATAAGATGGCAAACGAGCAAGCGGCCACCTGAATCCGTAGAAATGGAAAGCGACCGCTGCCCATATCCGCAATTGCAGCGCTGCCTACCCTTCATTAACGAAGAAGACGCACATAAAGAGGACATTTCCTTTTCATATGCCTCTCCTCCACCGTCAAATCCACTTTTCCTTCCCATCTTCTCCTCTTAAGAAAAGGGTGGAAAGTGAAAGGGACTAAAATTAGGCCTCCGGCACCACACTCAACAGAGTGTACGCGGAATTGCTTCCACTTCACGTCTGTCTGTATGGTTGTGGTATTGCTGGCGAGCCCTGCAGTGCGAAGATGTTAAAGCGGGCTCTACCACTGTTGCTGTGATCTTAAGTGTACACACAAGGATATAGTTTTGTATGAAAATGTCCCCGTTTGTTCGAATAATCTCCGGAACTGGAGGACAGGACTAACAGGAATTTAACTGGATGATATATATCCAGGAATGTTTTAGGCTACTTTTTAAGTTTTTCAACATTTGAATTATTTTCCGGTTGATTTATTTTGAAATTTCGTGTTTTAAGGTTATGCCGTCAAACTACTGGGCGGAGGGTTCGCGTGGCAGCTTGGAAGATGCAGCCGGTAGACCTGCATCAGCTCTCTCCACCTCCGAATCCTTGCAGACCTTCCTTACTAGGTAACACCTCGTTTCCTTTAATCTAGTACCGGCTAAGGACGTTGGATATAAAGGGGCGCCATGGCCACATAAATAGGCGCCTTTAATGCATCAATGGGCGCTACAGACGTGTCACACTCATAAATAGGTGCCATAAACTAATTAATAGGCGCCATGAACTCATAAATAAGCGCACACTCATAAATAGGCGCCACAAAATCATGAATAGACGCCACAAACTCAAATAGATGCCATAAACTCAAAAAGGCGCAACACTCAAAGATAGGCTTCACAAACTCATAAATAGGCGCCACAAACTTATACAAAGGTGCCACTATTTTATAAGTAGGTGCCACAAACTCAAATAGTTTCCACACTCAAAAATAGGCTCTACAAACTCATAAATAGGCGCCACAAACTTATAAAAAGGTGCCACGATCTTATAAGTAGGTGCCACAAACTCAAATAGTTGCCACACTCAAAAATAGGCTCTACAAACTCATAAATAGGCGCCACAAACTTATACAAAGGTGCCACTATTTTATAAGTAGGTGCCACAAACTCAAATAGACACCACACTCAAAAACAGGCACCACAAACTCATAAATAGCCGCCACACATGCGTACATAGGCACATGTAGGGGTGCCGCAGACGCTTCTTTTTCGTATTCAATTACTTCTAGGTAAGTCTTGGTGTCCAGAATGCCACCTCTGGCATACGAACTCCTTTTTAGTCAAAAAAGTTGGATTGTCCACTGAATGAGTGTATGAAATGTGTGCAGGATCGGCCTGGAGCAGCTGTGGGGCGTGCTGGAGCGCGAGCAGATCTCGGTGGACATCCTGTGCGAGATGTCGCACGAGGACCTGCGCGCGGTGGGCGTGGCCGCGTACGGACACCGCCACCGCCTGCTCAAGGCCGCGCGCCTCGCGCTGCACGCCAACACGGGTACCTATGCTAGTATTGTACAGAGGAATTGCTATTCGAAAACTACTGGACCGATTTTGTTTAATATTTGGATGTATGTTTTTTAGAGTTTGTAGCCTAAAAATACTGATTTCGTTGAAATTTAGCATTAATTGCATAGGCTTATTTCTATTGATATACTTACTGTTAGGAACAAAATTATTACCGTGCTGTAGAATTGGCGCAACACTAGATTATCGGCATAAGTCACGTCCCTAGCTGACAGCTGTCAATGTCACTGGAAGTATGGAGTTTGGCGCGCAACCTGAGTCCTGACGAGAAGTGTTGCTCTGAGTTTAAAGCGACAGTATCAAATAAGTTATCTAAAAATATCTGTACTCTATACTAATATAATAAAGAGATCGCAATATAATTATTACACAATAGGGAATATGTATGTATTTTTTTTTTTTTTTAAACGATTCTACTTGTTATATAATAACCAGAAAAAAATTGACGCGAAAATATTCAACCATTGAGCTAGACATTGACCACAGGATTTGGCATGAGACACGTGACGTCAATCGTCATATTCCATTCATAACATATGCTCAGATGACATTTCGATGTAAAAACAACGAAGTATCTCATTGGTTAACAAAAGTAAAAAATCGATTCATTTTTATTATTCCTGGTACAAATAAGTGGTAATTTATAATTCTATTCATTAATTTTTTTATTTTAAAGTTGGTTTTGATATCGTGTTTACAGTAAAATATTTCAAGAGTGTATTTCTATATAAACTAACGTAAATGAACTGTGTATTGTCAACGCAGCGACGCCATATTAGATAAGCCACTTGCTTCGACCAATAGTGTGCGTTTTAGAACTTAGCGAGGGAATTTGAAAAAATATACATTTTAAAGATTACATTTCGCCAATAAATGTTATTATATTAAAAAATCTTTACAGGTATGTTTTTATAGTAATAAAGAATACTTTAAAAAGCTTGGTCCAATTCTGCGTCATATGCATATTGCCTATTGCTTCATATATGTTTTGTCTCTTTCTCGTAACGAATATTGTGTTCTAGAATACTACGGGGGCACGACATTAGTGGAGGTGTTGCCGGAGGAGTGTGGGGCGGGGGCGGGAGCCGGGGGCGAAGTGGCCGGGGGCGAGGGGGCGGGGGCGGGCTGCTCCGGGGGCGAGTACGGCATGCTGGAGAGGGAGATGCAAGACTCTGTTCGCGCCCATAGAGATCATGTCGGTGGACAGTTCTCTAAATATAGAGTTGTTAGGGTAAGTACGAATCATCATCACCAGCTCACTACGTCCCCACCGAGGGGCTCGGAGCCTACCCTAAGTTAGTGACTAGGACATAGTCAACCTGCACTGCGGGTTGACTTCACACATATCTTTGAATTTCTTCACCGATTGCATCATGTTTCTTTTACCGTAAGAACGTCGGGTAAAATATGTACATATGAAAATTCGAAAATCACATTGGTACAGCGGGATTCGAACTCAAGACCTGTAGATTACAAGTCAATTGCTTAAACCACTGAGCCACTGAAACTCACATATTAGTGTGATTTTATTCAAATATATAATATTTTAGATACAAAAGATAGTGAACGGCCGCCTGTGGGAGCGCTACCAGCACCGGCGGCTGGAGGTGGCGGAGGAGGCGGGCGCGCACAACGAGCGGATGCTCTTCCACGGCTCGCCCTTCATCAACGCCATCGTGCAGAAGGGATTCGATGAACGACACGCTTATATCGGTCAGTTAACACTTATAAAACATTTAAGTCACTTATAAGTCAATATAAGACACTTTTAAATAATAGGGAATATGCGTGTATTTTTCTACACGATTCTACTTGTTATAAAATAACCAGAAAAAAAATTGACTCGAAAATAATCAACCATTCAGCTAAAAGTAACAAAATAAAATTACGACTATTTTCAAACGACTAAAACGCGAACGGAGTTGTCTTGAGACAATTGACGTCAATTGTCTTATTCCATTCATAATATACGCTCAGATGTCACTTCAATGTAAAAAACAACAAAGTATCCTCATTGCTTCTCAAGGTCTAAAAGTCAAAAATCGATTCATTTTTTTATGCCTGGTACAAATAAGTGGTGATTAATGATCCTTTTCATTAATTTTTCCCCTTTCATTGCGTCTCCTCCACTTTTCTTTCCCATTCTTTTCTCTTAAGAAAAGCTCGGAAAGGGAAATGGACTAAAATTAGGCCTAAAGGTACTAAACTTAATAATTTTTTATATATTTCAGGTGGTATGTTCGGCGCTGGTATATACTTCGCGGAGCATTCCTCTAAGAGTAACCAATATGTGTACGGCTTCGGAGGAGGCTCCGGCTGTCCAGCCCACAAGGATAGGAGCTGCTACCTCTGTCATAGGTATATATACACACAAACTACTAACGAACTACACTAACTACTAACGAACAACACTAACAACTAATGAACTACACCACTAACTACTAACGAACTACACTAACAACTAACGAACAACACTAACAACTAATGAACTATACCACTAACTACTAACGAACAACACTAACAACTAATGAACTACACCACTAAGCACTAACGTACAACACTAACAACTAACGAACAACACTAACAACTAATGAACTACACCACTAACTACCAACGAACTACACTAACAACTAACGAACAACACTAACAACTAATGAACTAAACCACTAACCACTAACGAACAACACTAACAACTAACGAACAACACTAACAACTAACGAACAACACTAACAACTAACGAACAACACTAACAACTAACGAACAACACTAACAACTAACAAACAACACTAACATCTAACGTACAACACTAACAACTAACGAACAACACTAACAACTAACGAACAACACTAACAACAAATGAACTACACCACTAACTACCAACGAAATACACTAACAACTAACGAACAACACTAACAACTAACGAACAACACTAACAACTAATGAACTAAACCACTAACGAACTACACTAACAACTAACGAACAACACTAACTACTAACGAACAACACTAACAACTAACGAACAACACTAACAACTAACGAACAACACTAACAACTAATGAACAACACTAACGAACAACACTAACGAACAACACTAACAACTAACGAACAACACTAACGAACAACACTAACAACTAACGAACAACACTAACAACTAATGAACAACACTAACGAACAACACTAACAACTAACGAACAACACTAACAACTAATGAACTACACCACTAACTACTAACGAACTACACTAACTACTAACGTCTGATATTTTTCGATCATCTAGGGGGCATTAAAATTAATTTAGCATTAATTAGATGTTCGGTATAATGTGTGTGTCCGCAGACAGATGTTGCTGTGTCGCGTGACGCTGGGGCGGGCATTCCAGCTGTCCAGTGCGATGAAGATGGCGCACGCGCCGCCCGGACACCACAGCGTGGCGGGCCGCCCCAGCCACGGCGGGCTCTGCTTCCCCGAGTACGTCGTCTACAGGGGGGAACAGGTATCACTTTGTACTTCCAAATATTACTACACTAGTTTAAGACCGCGACTCTACGTGGAATTGAAAAAACAAAAGTAACTAGCCTATGTTCTTCCAGACCAATGACGGATCTAGGGGGGTCATGGGGGTATGACCCACCTGAGCTGGTTGGTTGGACTTGACCACGACTATGTGACCCCCCTAGCGCCAAAGCTGGATCCGCCCTTGTTCTTGACTATCTTCTACATCTGTACCAGATTTCATCGAAATCCGTTCAGCAGTTTAGGCTATAAACTCTAAGAAACATCCATTCATTTGTTAAAGTTTGTAGCTTGATTTCACGCGGACGGAGTTGCGGGCAAAAGCTAGTCTTACTAATGTTATAAAGAGGAAATGTTTGTATTTTTTTATGTATTGGAGTAAATTAAAAACTACTATTGTTTTTTTTTATTTTAAGCGGACGAAATCGCGAGCAATAACTAGTTATATTAAAAAGAGGAAAATTTTGTATTTTTCTATGTATAAAAATAACTCAAAAACTATTATTTCTAAGCTTAATAAACGTAAAATATAACTACTACGGCGTTTTCATAAAATCTTTTACCATTGAAAAGCTAAAAAAAATATAGGCTGTTTTTATTTTTTAATTTCACTCGGGCAAAGTCGCAAGCAACAGCTAGTATCTAAAATATTATTTTTCTTATTCCAGGCTTATCCCGAATATTTGATAACATATCAAATAGTTAACGAAGAGAACACTGGCTCAGTGTAACTGCATATTAGTCTATGGTGATGTGAAAAAAACTGTCTATGGTCGAATGTGTAACCAATTTGTGTTCGATATTTGAATCGGTTGATAAAACTGTGGTCGAAATGTGAAAATGTCTATGGTAAACAGATAATAAAACTGTTTATGTTCGTAAAACAAGATTATATAAATTGTATAAAACAAAATAGAAGAAAAAAAATTCTTTTCTGTGCTTCAAAATTAAAACAATAAAAATAGTTAATAAACGAAAAAGAAAAGATGAATATTGTTTATGGTCTTAAATTGAGGAAATTGTCTATGACCGTAAAACTATTTTATCTGTGGTTATGAAACAATGCAGTTAACTCTGTAAAAGAAGACATTACGTAAATAAATAATTTATCTATTATTGAAATAAAACGATAGTGTAAATAAATTTAAATTTTATAATTTATTATCTAAGGTTTGGGATGCACGTTGCTTTTATATTTTTCTAAAAAGCTGTGATTTTTAAAATGGCGCGAAAACTGCGTTAATATTGATATATATTCTATAGAACATACAAAGCGAGGCAAAAAAGGTTTTTGACATAATAAATGGAAATACTTTATTAAGTCTGTCCCATAACTGACTGATAGAGGCTCAGATAGATGAAGTCACTGTCAGATAGAATAAAATCCGATATTTCCATCACATATATTTATTGTTATCGGACAGTTAACAATTTGGTGGGACAAGCCCTAAGAGGCTTATAAAAATTCATAAATATAATTTTCATAAATTCAGGAATTATTTACTTCTATATATAACAATTTATAATTCTGTGAATAGATTTGTAAACATTTTAGTATAAAAAACACAAACTACAAAATCCATAGACAAAATGAAATTGTTAATAATGTGTACATAATTTCTCGTTTGAATTAATTTTGACTATTGGTTTTAAAAGAAATGTAACAATTCATAGGAGAATAAATGAATCTCAACTTTTTATTTGGAAATTAAATAAAAAAAAAACAAACTGGGTATCGATGTGTTGTCTCTGTTCTGTCAAAAGTAAATAAAGATGGCATATGACAAATTTTAATGCAGAGTCTATCAATTACGTAATTTACGAAAATGAATTCGTAACGTATAAAATGTCGAATAATGAGTTTTCGTGATAAGTACAATCAGGGAAAATGGCGGTGTTCCTTAATAAGTGTAGAAGTTAAAAGTTTTGTAAATGAACTTTTAAATGTGTGGTTGAAAGTTATTGTTTAATTCACTTATGGGTTATTTATAAGGTTGTGTCTCGTTGCAAGGAATATAGCTCTGAAAGTGGAACATCGCGGAATACCCTGACTGTACTTGCGATTCGAACTTTTTTTAACATCTTAATAGCAATAATGCTAGAAATTCGCTCATTGTATATTTTTAGTATAATTGTATAAAAATGTTTGGTGTTGAATATATTTTGAAAAAAGTATTTTTATAACTGTCAAGATAATTTTAAAATAGCAATAATTTTACCGATCATTTTTTTATTATTATTGTATATATTGAGGTTTTGTGTAGAAATGATTGTGTGTAGAATGGAATACATTATGTGGATTTTATATTGTTTTATTTCTCAAATTTTCTTAACCAATATACTATATTTACTTATTACGTTGGCGCAGCGACCGGAAGTGGGTCTTGGCCGACACGAGAGAGCGCCAGCTTCACTATATTTAGTGGAATTCAATATAAGCGAGAAATGGGGATGTTTCCTAATTTTTGGAATTGCTTTTATTATGTAGATAAACAATATCTAAACAAGAAAAAAAATGTAATAAAATCATACACGCAACATTTCATTACAAAAACACTTAACTAAAAACAACTCCTCGAAAGACCGCGAAAACGCCTCATGACATGACGTCACTTCTTTGCTAACAAACCTCGCGTCGCGGTCTGTCAAAGTCATTCAAAGTGACCAGACGTAAATTGAATTAGCTATTCAAATGACTTTTACTATTTTTTTTTCGTCATAGTGATCAAAAAATTTGCTCGTATAATATGTCGTAAATATAAAAACACTTAATAATGGAGTCCTCATAATATAACACACGAAAACTCAATTATTATAATCATTAAAAAAAATTATAACTACAAAATGCACTGACATTCACTGAAGCTGGTCACACTGCCATGTTGTTTGCGAAGAAGTGACGTCACCGAGCTCTGATTGGTGTTTGAGATAGAGTAATGGAGGGTAAAAAATATTGCAGCGTTTTTATTTTTATTTCAATGGAGACAAACATTTAAGGTCTCCAAATGTTATTATAGGTTTTAAAATACTGTCTTTAAAATATTAAACATAACTTTATTTGAATTTGTAACATTAGGAAACATCCCCATTATAGCAAAGCTATGTAAATAATTTCACTTTTAAACTCTGTAAATAGACTTATTACAAACAGAGATGGCACAATCTTTACTTGAAAATTAAATTTGTTTATAGGACAAGATGAGGGTTTCTAGATAAGGAATAAAACGATTTCGTTTTTTTAAAGTTTTATTATAAACAATGAAATAAATTACACTTATAATGACTAGATAATCATCTAACCGTCGACGTTCACTGTCAGTAAATTTTTATCACAAATGAAAATTCGACGTATTGTTGTTGTTAATATACACGCAGTGAAAATCCACGGTTAGGCTAAATACGGACTATTTAATATATTCTACACTTTTCAATGTTATCCGAGACATCGGAATTCGCCAAAATGGCGAAATGACAAACATTTCATTGCCTACTTTCAATAGACGCACAGATTTACTAAGCATTCGCAGTCAAAGCTTCCCCTTCCCATATCCTTTTCTACAAAGCATTACAAAACTTCAAACTACCCTACAAATGTCTACAAACAAGGGTTCAAATCTCCTGTCATATTAACATGAGAGCATGTCACCTTCTGTCCCGTTGGCACAGCAACTTTGAACAATTTCCCTTGAGGCATACATACACATACTTTAAACTGTCCCGTTACATATTTCTCTGATTTATTCAACGGAATAGCTATAGGTAAATATCTGACATCAACAAACACTCCCTCTTTCCCACTCAAAACTATAGAACCATTGATAGATTTAAGATAAATATCCTGGTCCGCAGACCAGAATAATTCTTTAGATTCCATCCGAGTACCCTCAGCACCTCTCAAATGAGCAGCCGTTTCAGATCTGATGATCAAATCTTCATCAATAGGTGATGAGATGCGTTTAGTTGAGATTTGCTGAAATATAATATACTGTTAAGACAAAGCTTATTAATAATACTAGCTTTTTCCAAAAACTCCATCTGCATGTTTATTTTTATAATATAAGGTGGTAAACGAGCAAGCGGCCACCTGAATCTACCGAAATGGAAAGCGATCTCTGCCCATAAACATCCGCAATTGCTGATGCGTTGCCTACCCTTCATTGACGGAGGAGACGCACATAAAGAGGACATTTCCCCTTCCTATGCATCTCCACTATCAAATCCACTTTACCTTCCCATCCTCTCTTAAGAAAAGGGTGGAAAGTGAAAGAGAATTAGTTAGGCCTCGGTATCACACTCATCAGACTGTACGCAGAGTTGCTTCCACTTTACGTCTGTCTTCTGTGTGGTCGTGGAATTACACCGGGCGGGTCCTACAGTGCGAAGATGTTTAAGCGGGCTCTACCATTGTTAACTGGTAAAAAAACAAAAGTAGTCTCTGTGTTCTTCCAGATGCTCTACATCTATGAAAATTATCGAGATGCATAACAATTTAGGCTACAAACTAACAAACATCCATCCACCACAACTTTCGATGGATGGATGGATGTTTATAGCCTAAACTGATTTTTAGGGCATTGCTCCCCTAGCTATGGCAATACCTGATTGGACATATACAATTTTGAATTTATACTAATATAAAAAGGAAAGATTTGTATTTTTGTATATATTGATATAACTCAAAAACTACTGGGGCAATTTAAAAAAGTCTATCACTAAATAGCTACATTTCAATAATATAGGTTACATTTTTTTAATTTCATTCGGACAAAGTCGCGAGCGACAGCTAGTAGTCGAAGTGTGTAGGTCTCACCTTAGCCAGCAAATTATTAACACCATCAGGAATGTTCATCTCCGGTTCGTTAGTACTAAAGATAACTTCTCCCGAGTCAGGATATACCAATTGCAGGGAACTGACTCCCTTCACAAATACTCCTGATGTGTTGACGGTCAGTTTGGCATCTGATCTGGACAACCTGGAAGGGACAATGAGAAATTATCAACATCTCCATACATCCATAGTGACTATAGTAAATTAGATGTGACTATGAGTCGAGACTCCAAAATATATATAAAAAAATCATTATTGACACTATACTTGAGAAATTTTGCATATAAAATTGCTAACACTGTCTATTACCAGCCTCTAAGCTATGACAATATATTTGTCAATGGGTTTCATCTGTACAAATATCATAAAGAGGAAAACTTTGCTTGATTGTAATGAATAGACTCAAAAACTACTGGGGCAATTTTAAAAATTCTTTCACCGTTAGAAAGGTATCTGTGAGTAACATAGGCTATATTTTTTCATTCCTTTATTATGCTTTTTAAATTTTACAAGGACGGATTCGCTGGCAAAAGCTAGTTAAATAATATTTGAATGTTCTTTTTTTATTATTTAGTGACACAATTTAGTCTATTTCATAACTAGCTGATGCTTACGACTTTGTCTTCATGGAATTCAAGAAATAGTAAAAACCTAGCTTACATTACTCAGTAATAACATAGCTTTTTAATGGTGACCGATTTTCTGTAATTGGCCTAGTTTTCAAGTTATTTCAATACATTTAAAAGTCCAAAATTACAAATCTTTCCTCTTTATATTAGTATAGAAGTTGGAGCATATAATAATTTTATAATAAGCTCTTTCTTAAGATACTATTAAAGTTTTAGACAGACAAAGTCGCAGGCAACAGCTAGTTGATCAACACATTTAAACAAATTGAATTTAAACTACACATATGGGCATTGACAGACAATTATAAAGGTGTGGAGGTTGTAAAGGGAAACAAATGAATATATTTAAAAATAGAAAACCTTGTTTGTAAATTAAATATGACTGATCCATTCTCACTGCTAATGGTCATCGGTGTGTCTTGGAAGCTCTCAAGTACTCCGTCTCTCTTGTAGACATGATCCAAGTCTATAGATCCCAGGAACTTGACTGCATTGTGGTCTAATAAGATTTCCATGCTCTCCATACCTAAGAAATATAGTTAGAAAACTGATATGTACAAGTTTTTCTAAATTAGAATAGTAATATAATTATGTTTTAATATTCACTAGCTAGGAATAATAATTATCTATTTTAAAAATGATGTACGTAATTACCGTATCCAAGTCTCAGAACTGCGAAGACGGTAGAAATCAATACCAAATTCCCAATAGCGAGAACAAACATTAAACACACGAGTGTCCAAAACGCGAAAGTCTTTCGTCCTCCGTGTAAATTCTTACTGACTTCGTTTCCATTCTTATCCGAATAATTTTTAGCAATGTTCCCATTATTCTTGTTGAGAAAAACCTGACTGTGTGTCGGTGTTTTCGTTATAAGAGCTTTTTCAGCGTGATTCCTTTCTAATGTACTTTCAGACATCGCGTCGGACATTGGTGATACCCCACGCAAGCCCGTCAACATTATTGTAACTGGAAATATCGGAAATTTTAATCGTGATCATAGAATTTATAAATAGAAATATAACTATACGATTTTCATTGAATCAAAATATTGAGCGAAGAAAAAGCAATGCTATTGGTTGAAAAACCAGCCAATGAAATGGTTTTCCACTTTTGCCGCTATAGATACTTGGTTTTTCAAAAAAGTTTTTTTACAAAAAGAATAATATTTAAACGACATTTTGGGAGTTAAAAATTAATTCATTTTGTTAACGTTTTCACGAGATAACATATATAGCAATTAATTTTTTTTTAAAGTGGAATATGAAAGATTTTAAACGAAATGTTTAAGTGCAGATAACATGACAGCGCTGAATATTTTTGACAATTTGCTTTGTAATCATGGCGTCAGAACGTTATAGTTTCTCTCTTACAACTTTTAGGTAAATTTAATTGTATTTACTATTTTTCAGAACTTCAAAACTACATAAACTTCTTTAATAAAACTGCCATTATCGATTCTAATATATAAAACATGTTTAACTTGTATTTGAAGCTGAGGATTTTTTGTTTTTGTATGACAATAACTTTCAGTGAATGTGCAAATATAAAATGATTTTATTTCAGCCCGTCAGGTAAATTGGTGCAAATTGAATATGCTTTAGCCGCTGTAGCCGCCGGCGGAACTTCCGTCGGGATTAAAGGTAATTTTTCTAATAAAATAAAGGTTATGTGGTTGTTGAAATTCTACGTTAAAAATTGTACTTACTTTAGATTGTATCTTCTTCCAGCATCGAATGGCGTCGTGATCGCAACAGAGAACAAACACAAAAGTATTCTGTACGATGAGCACAGTGTGAACAAAGTCGAAATGATAACTGGTCATATTGGTAACTACAACTTTCATTAATTTTAATGCTCTTAGCTATAAATTTGTACTAAAAATTCGGAGAATCACTACTAATTTAATATCAAATCAATCATAATGCTTATTTGCGAATTTATGAGACATTGTCTATCCCAGGCATGGTTTACTCCGGCATGGGTCCCGACTATCGTCTACTAGTGACCAGAGCTCGTAAGATGGCACAGCAGTATTACTTGATGTATCATGAGCCGATACCAACAGCACAGCTGGTGCAGCGAGTGGCCACCGTGATGCAGGAATACACACAATCTGGGTAAGTAATTCAGTCTTAAATTTAAGTTTTTTATAACTTAAATAGTTAACTTGCTCTCACTAATGTAATAAATGTTATTTATGAATGTGGAGGAGTACATCGGTAGAGGTAGACCTAGAAAGAGATGGATTGATTGCGTGAAAGGTGACATGATAAAGAAGGGAGTGATGACTGAGATGACGGATGATAGAATGCTTTGGAGGACGAAAACCCGGTGCGCCGACCCTACGGGAGTAGGATAAGGCAGGGGAGATGATGACAAACTAATAATCGAAATAAAAATTAAAAAGAGAGAAAAATGCCGTTTGTATAATTTTATATATTTAAAATGGAATGTTGATCACTTTACCATAAACCCCTCTATAACACAATTTCTGGACCCTCATATAAGACAGTAATTACAACATGTGAATATAACCAAAAAAATTTAAAAGTACCTCCATATAAATAACTCATTTTGTCTGTGCTATATTCAAAAATGTGTTATATGAGGGATTTCTATGACATGGAACTAACAACCATGTTATAGGGAGGTTTACTGTAGTCTTATATTTTTTTGCTTAAAATTGTTCAATAAATTCTTTAATATACAGTGGTGTCCGTCCATTTGGAGTATCTCTGCTGATATGCGGGTGGGATGAAGGCAAGCCTTATCTGTTCCAATGTGACCCGTCCGGAGCCTACTTTGCCTGGAAAGCAACCGCTATGGGCAAGAACTTTAACAACGGGAAGACTTTCTTAGAAAAAAGGTAAGGTAGTTTACATATATGAACTGTAGTGACGTTATACTAATGTAAACTAACTTTTGTCTATGACTGCGTCTGTGTGAAATTTAAAAAAAAGTAGAATGTGTTCTTCCAGACTATTCTCTATGTCTATGACAAATTTCATTGATATTCCGCAGTTTAGGCTACAAACTCTAATACAAACAAACAAACAAACAAAACAGAGACTACAATACATAATACTGTCTTTTGCCTGTTACTTCAACTATGGAGAATTTAAAAAAAGTATGTATATGTGTTCTTCCGGACTATCTTCTACATCTGTGACAAATCGAGGTCTGTTAAACTAACTATCCATCCATCTAAACTTTCTCATCTTTACTAATATAATAAAGCGTAAACACACGCTACTTTGTTGCCTAAGATGTCAGCAATCACAGCACATTTTTGAATAATTCTTTCTTTAATAAAAAGCTCTACACTTACGTCACTCTTTAGGCTATATATTTTCACGCCATTAAACTTAGGGGGAATTTATTTTGGATAAAAACACTAATGTGGGACCATAAGTTGCTGCCAACATCAAGGAAGCAAGGTTGTCATGTTGTTTTGACATTTGCTATTAATAATTTGATAAATGTAAACAAAAAAATATTCATAAATTCATGCGGATGAAGCAGCACGGGAACAGCTAGTTTATAATATTAATGAGATAAGTTACATGTAAAGTTAGTATTGATGTTTGTTACTAAGTATTATTAGACAACTTATTTAATTGATACTGTCGCTTTTAACTCAGAGCAATACTTCTCGTCAAGACTTAGGATGCGCGCCAAATCTATCCATACTTCCAGTGACATTGACAGCTGTCAGCTAGGGACGTGACGTTTATGCCGATAATCTAGAGTTGCGCCAATTCTATAGCACGGTACTGATTTTATTCCTAATAGTATCTACATAATGGTTTAACAGACCTTGATTTGTCACAGATGTAGAAGATAGTCTGGAAGAACAAATATACATACTTTTTTTAAATTTTCCATAGTTGAAGTAACAGGCAAAAGACAGTATTATGTCTTGTAGTCTCTGTTTTGTTTAAGAGAATGAAAGAGATGGCTATATTCTGTAAGATTTTGAGAATAATGTACTGAATGGCTTTGGTATTCCTAGCTAGTTTTGTTTTCAAATTAGAAAGTGACTGATTGTAGTCTAGACATCCTGCTCTCTCATTAGGAGACAACCATAATAAAACTGTTTCCTCTCTATTCTTAGCTATTTTTCCTATGCAAAAGTATATAATTTTAACTTGTGTGCAGGTATACTGAGGAATTAGAACTAGATGATGCAGTCCACACCGCAATCCTCACCCTGAAGGAGGGCTTCGAAGGTCAGATGACAGCTGACAATATCGAAGTTGGCATCTGTGATGCAAACGGCTTCCGTAGACTTGAACCCTCACATGTCAAGGATTATCTTGCTAACATACCATAATTATTATTAAAGAAATTAAAATTTTGTTTGTAATTTAGTGTTTTATTTCTGTTTATCCTATACCAGGGGTAAATCTTTAAAGAATGCACCTGAAACTTAACTTAACTTAACGCTTTGAATCTTATAATTATATGGAGGTGCGCACAATGCTCGATTTTTATTGTGCAAACTAAACAATTGAATTGGCTGCAAAACAATCGACAATCAGACAACAGTTGTGCGATAGTTTAGTAAAAGGTGTGTGCCTGCTATACTGTTTACTTGCATTTTATGAAAGAATGCTTGTTTGATAGCATTTATTGGGTACATTCATACGAATTAATAAAGACCTTTTTATACAAAATATAGTGTCGCGTTACATTAGTTTGCTACCTCTGGTCTTAAACGTTAAGTTATAGTTAACAGTGTAGGTAAGTAAACAATTTTATTATATAATCTTTAATTAAATTGTAATTTCATCAAAAGAAAATAAGCCGTTTATTATTACTACCTAACTTTTTCAAACTACATACATCGAATCAATATTGATAATGCCCGGTTCACACTTAGTCAGTACAGTTACACAGTTGCGACATTCATTGGCGCCTGTTAGCGTTCATACTCGGCCAGTTGATTGACTGTCCAATCAGAGCGCGACTGACGAACTAGTCTTGGGCTTAATCGGACATCTGCAAGTACCTGCACCGTACTAGTACAATTGGGAAAACGTACTAGTACACACTTTTAGTACCTTTAGTACTTCAGATTTGTGAAAACACAATACTTGAATAGAATATAACGAGGGTTATATATTACTTCACATCAAATTTTAAGCAGGGTCAAACATATGTTATTAGCGAAAATAAATTTAGTTATGAATAATTTTATCCACTTTTGATTCTCATTATCGAAGGTGGATGCTTCAATCTGACAAAAAGGCAAATACCGATATCGTGTAGTGTACTAAAAGTACTAAATGTCCGATTAACAGAAGCCGTTCGGTAACGTTACTTTTAGTACAGTGCCGAGTAACATTACTTTTTAGTACATCGTACGTGTACTACCCAAGAGTAACGAACTATACTGGCCAAGTGTGAACCGCACTTTACAATCGACACATCAATCCGAAAATGAATGAGAACCATCGGTAAAGCATTCAATCGCTGTTAACTTCACACTTGCTCATTTACTTCGTTCATTTCACTGGTGCTCATTTCATTCAAGTGGCAGTTGTCATGGCGGCAGTGCGTTCTTTACGGACTAGTGGTGTTTTTCTATTATTATTTTTGTTGAAAATAACGAACGCATCGTCCGGACCATGGATATTTTCGGTGGATGTAAATGAAAAAGCGTGTTCCGAGTTAAAATGTGTTTACAATTTGAATGTGAACGGGTTAGATATCGATGTGTGGTCGTTAACCGAGGTGCCGGCGGCTCGTGGTGGGGACTGCGAGGGTCGTTTTCTCGAAGAAAAGTCGACCAAAAACGTCGAATTGATCGTACCTGTTGCGAAAAAGTTGTTCTTCTGTGCGAAAGGACCTGATGGAGTGTGGTATAACCAGGGCGAGAGCTTATTTTTGGAAGCCAATGACGTCATCGAAGCGAACGCACAATACGAGCCGTAAGTCCTCATTAAGTATACCAAATGGACAGATAACATACTACAAAACGTGTCGTTTTTTTGTTAATTTTTTTATTTATCAACCAAAAACACGTACGTCGTTAGCACAGACTTTTTGCGATGTTGGGATATTTCACTTATTGTTAATTTAAATTTGTTACGTAAAGTGATAATGAAAATTTTGAAGTTGTAGTTTTGCTTATCTGTAAAAGTTTAGATAAATTTTTGTCTTGTAACTTGTCGGTAGCAAATACCTCGGCGTTCGTGTCAATGTTGGATTTCCATATTTTTTATGAACATTTTCTTACTAATTATCTCACAGTGGGGAATGTAATTTGTATTTACGATTCTAACAATTTAAATGATTGAAAACGTTAGAAATTAATTTCTTACTTAATTCAATTTCATTCGATATTTAAAATTTTAACAACGAATGAATGAATTTCTCTTAATTGGTTTGACATAGACAATGTAAATAAATGAATGATCTTTATCGTTCTTAATTTGAAATTACCAATTTTGTACAACTACACTACATTGAGACTTGTATATTATTGTCGACCTCTTCTATTCTCTTTGATATTTTATATTTACAATAAAATAATGGTACAGACGAAACCTAGTGGTTTAGAAAATAGTTAACAGTATTCGACGAATTCATTAACTCTGCTTTACGTGAGTAAGCATTATAACTTTACTAGCTTTTGCCTGCGACTCGGTCCGCGTGGAATTAAATAATAAACAAAAGTGAGTAGCCTATTGTTCTTCCAGACTATCCTCTTATCTATGCCATTTCATCGAGATCCGTTCAGCAGTTTAGGCTAGAAACTCTAACAAACATAATATGATATTAGTAAGGTAACATTTCCTTGTGAGTTTGTTTAATTTGACACACACATCATTCAGTTCATGTATAGAATGACTAAGATAAAGAGATGAATGACTCAGTAATTTCAATGCGTCATAGTTTAGGATATGGGGGCGTAATTATCTGAAATACAGGAAATATATGTAACGCAGACAATTTGTGAACCTCCATTTTGAAGTTGTTTAAAACTAGTTTATGCACGCGACTCAGGCTGCTGGAAATCGGTTGAGGAAACATTTGTATTTTTGGACTTTTGTATGTGTTCGATTCACGGAAAAACTACTGGGCCGATTTTAAAAATTCATTCACTAGTAGAAAGGTAAAAAGTTATCTGTGAGTAACATAGACTATATTTTCGAACCACTAATAAAGAGCATATTTCTGGTCCCTGGCGTTAAAGACACTAAATTTTAACTTTTCTTGGCTAATTAAAAATAAGTAGCCTATGTGTTCTTATAGACTACTATATTTATGCTAAATTTCATGGAGATCCGTTCAGCAGTTTGCTACAAACTCTATCAAACTTCCATCTGAAGTTTCGTATTTATCATACTTTATACTAATATTATAAATGCGAAAGTTTAGATGGATAGATGTTTGTTAGAGTTTGTAGCCTAAACGGCTGAACGGATTTTGATGAAATTTGGTATAGATGTAGAAGATAGTCTAGAAGAACACATAGACTACTCACTTTTGTTTTGTTTTTTAATTCCACGCGGGCGGAGTCGCGTGCGAAAACTAGTAATATAAATAAAATGATAGTTACAAACGCTGACTGACGTTAAAAGATTTTTAAGTAGCTGTTACCTGAGGCGCCAGCGTGGAATTTAAAAAGCCTATATTACTCTCGCAATCATCAGCTATCGTCCAGTAAAAGTTACGGTCAAAATCAATCCAGCAATTCCGTAAACCTGAACAAACGCAGACGTGCAGACAGAAATAATAACAAAAAATCGTTATAAGACCGGTCGCACAACAGTTGTGCGATTGTCGACTGTCGCAATTCAACTGTTTAGTTGCACAACTAACGAGTAGTGTACCATTCAAGCTCTTAGAAACCGGGACTAAATGGTTGTGCTATAATTTAGTTCCTTTGTCTTAGAACTTTATTTCCTAGAATTTCTTTGTCATCGGAATGCAGTAAACATTCTACCGCCAGACACGTGAGCAAACACACAGACAGGAACGGCTCTGTATCACAAGCAAACAGTCAATATATGTACGGAGATATACATTGATATATTGTATTTAAAAAAAATTATATCCTAAAGTAATAAATGTAGAAAATAACGGTATAGTAGTAATTTAAATGTATACAAAACGTTTAATAACTTTGTGAGAGGATCTGAATTAGAGGCTATTTTATTTATTTACGAGCAGTCGCCCGCAAACTTCGTTAGCGCAAATTTGGACTACCAAAAAAAACTAAAAAAAAAGTAGCCTATAATATGCCTATCTATGTCAGCTACCCTCAGGTGAAAGTCCCGTCGAATTCGACCCAGCCGTTTCGGAGATTACCCGGAACAAACGCGGCTTGCGGACAGACAGACAAAAAAAATTTAAATGCCATTTTCGTTATCAGCAACGCAAATACATCATCTTCCCGAAATCTGGATTTTTTCTTTCGATATAACGAGTACAAACAGACACTCCAATTTTTTTAAACGTCAATTGCCTAATGGTTTGGGGTACGGACTATCGATCTTGAGGTCGAGCTTAGAGCTTAGTTGCAGTGGTTAAAGGAAATGTTAGTAAATTTACAAAAATCTACTAAAACTCTGAATAAAAATGTTAAATGTTATGTAACACATAATATAATATATTTTACGCTAAAAATATTTAAAATTATCGTAACGTAAGATAAACATCTTTTACGTGAACATTATCAATAGCAACCGAAATATGTAACATATCTAAAATAATCTAAAAAAACTAAAACGATAGTAAACATATACGCTGTTAAAACACCCACTTTGCGTTCAAAAGATATATATAAACTCGCATTCACGTGACAAAAAGGCGTAGGTAGAGATCGCAGTTTTAAGTGTGGACCAATTTGCAAAAATACAATTTTCTTTTACACCAAAAGTAAGCACACCTTAGATAAAATTATCGCAAAACTGTTAAGACTCGCTTTAATATCTTTGAGCTTATATGGAGGTGCGTACCACTCGATTGTTAGTTGGGCAACGAAACAGTTACATTAACTAAAACAATCGACAATCGCAAAATAGTTATGCGCCCGCTCTAAACAAGAATTAGGGAAGACTGGGGGAGACGTTGTACTGGATATTTCCCTTTCCTATATACCCTCCCCAGCACTTCCCCTTCTCTTCTAGTATACGTTAAACCCTTCCATCTATCCCACTTTACGTACGGGCGCAACAGTTTTCGACCTCCACATCGATCTTCCGTCACCTCAGTCATCATTTGACACAGTCCATCTCTTCCCAGGACTCAACATTTTCATCGTCTCCCCTTTTTCTTTCCCAGAGGAGAATGCTTTATGCATACTCCGTGCCTCGGGGCAGGCACGAGAGTTATGTGGGATTTTCCCCATAATGGGGCATACCAACTAATGCCCTCTGTTCCCTCCTGGCCATTGTGTGGGACGCCACGAGATCGCTTTCGCTGGCTACCCCGATGCCCCACTGACCGCTCCGGGAAGGGGCCCTCAATGCTTCCCAATAAATTGGGACGCTGCGCCCTAAGGCGTCCCTCTGAGACGGCACCGTGCAAAGCAGGTGCTGTCATCATCTCCCCTAGCTTATCCTACTCCCGTAGTATCGGCGCACCGGTTTTTATCCTCCAAAAAAAATCTACCATACGTCATCTCAGTCACTCTCTTCTTGATCATGTCGTCTTTTACACAATCTATCTCTTTTTATATCTACCTCTGCCGGTGTACTCATAACTAACGTTCTCCTTGTTACATGCATAACATACCATGCTAAGCTACACCTTAACATCTCAACCATTGGGGCTACTCTCAAACTTCCACAAATTTATTTAATTCTTGAATAGTAGAATCGGCAATTCAACGTATCCAGATGGCCTCTTAACGCGTATATAGGCGTAACTTCAGATATTTATAGGCACGCTCCATCTGGCGTGTACAAATCATAATTAAACGTATCTTTTGTAGTTGAAGAATTTAATTCGCTTCCCACCTTGGATAGCATACGCTAAGCTAGTGTGCAATTTTGAAGGTCAAATTTCACTAAAACGAATAAGAAATAAAGGTTCTCTATGTAATAAAATGTGTAATCATACTATCATACTTCATAGTAATGTTATAAATGCGAAAGTTTAGATGGATGGATGTTTGTTACAGTTTGTAGCCTAAACGGCTGGACGGATTTCTATGAAATTAGGTATAGATGACGAGGATATTCTGGAAGAACACATGGGTACTTGCTTTTGTTTTTTATTTATTCCACGCGGACGGAGTCGCGGGCGAAAGCTAGTAAATTAATAAAATGGTAACATTACTTTTGTCTTAGTTTTTCTATATTTTGTCGGAAAAATTAAAATTACCACTGGTAAAGATTTTTTATGCCTCAATCTATACTCTATACTAACATTATAAAGAGGAAAGATTTGTATATTGAAATAACTCATAAATTATTAGGACGATTTCAAAAAATCTTTTAAAATTAAAAAGTTACGTTATTGCTATGTTTTTTTTTACTTTTTTTAACTCCACGTGGGCGAAGTCGTGAGCAACAGCTTAGCAGCTAGTAACTTAATAAATCTTACGGGTTTATTTATTCCACTGCGTATGAAATTTAGATAGCTAGTCTTTCTAGTATTATAAATGCGAAGGATTAATATTGTAAAGACTAGTTTGTAGCCTAAACAGCTGAAAGGACCTCGCTTGTCATATATGAAGAGTATCTGAACAAACACACTGCATTACTTTCGATTTTTTCATACTTCTCGAACGGAGTCACGGGCGAGAGCTAGCAGTAAGTTATCATGAGCTTATCTGAATGTCTTACTACTTAATTGCGCCAAATGAGATGTAAAATGATACGACAAAACGTTGTTTGAATAGAAATTAAAATAGCAGTTTTATCTCATACTATCAAAATATCGTTTAAATTTTTCTATGTTAATTATGTTTCTGTTT